GTCTCTATATTTTTTTTTAAACTCTTTTTACCCTGTGGGCACTAAGAGGGGCTTTTTTGCAAGCCCATTATGGGTTCGGCCAGGCCCACAATGGGGCTGCCGAGTGGTGAGGGATGGGGCCAGACATATCCGAACGGATTATCCCCCGAAAGATTACTGGGGATTTTTCGACCCGTTCGGATTCGAGCCCGGGTCCCACAGAGCGGTAGGCTGCCACGTTGACCGCTCGGCCATCCGACCTCCAAGTTTGAGTTTATATTGTTCGAATGATCCGCTATTATGAATTATGTTGTACAAAAATTTAAAATTTGTCGCAAAAAATATTTTACGCATAACTCAAAACTTCTGTCAAGAGCATACAGAGTAAAACCGTTCGTAAAGGACACTTCTAAATAACGGACACATTTAATTACCGACCATTTTAACATTTTCGACGCAAATAAAAGACATTTTCATTGTCTAGTATATAATATCGAGAAACATTTAACATTTTAAAATAGGATAAAAGTCGTCACTCCCGGTGAATGTCCGTCATTAAGAGGTTATACTACGGAGCTTTTACGGGAACGAAATTAAAAAGCTTTCGATGGTTTACGAGCTTAAATTACATTTAATAGCTAACCTTTTTCGAGTTTGAAAATATTAGTTTAAGGACGAATGAGGCGGATTGTTTTGTGCGCAATTTTTTAATTTCGCGGCCCGTAACAGGATCTTTTATTTAGCCAGTCCATTATGGATTGGGCCAGGCCGAATGGGGCGACCGGGTACTGAGGGACGAGACGGACGGACCACCCCTTGAACAATTTCTGGGGTGTTTTGATTTTCCAAATTGTTCTCTGTCATGTTAACAGTCCGGCCGTGGCTATTTTCTGGTTAGGATATGGAAGACGTCAAATTCTACATACTATAGGCTAATATTGGGCGCTTTTTCAAATCCCGCCGATTTACGGCTGATTTGTTATGACGTCGTTGTTAGTGTTTCTTCAAGTGAGCAAAGGTTAGTCGGAAGCTTCTCTTTGTCATAGGTTTTTATAAAATTACGAGAGGACCGAAGAATCAAAGAGTGGGAAATTGTTTTATAAAGAAGTATCGAGTTACGTTTACTGTTAAAACAGTGGTTGTAATTATAAAAATCGAGTGCATTGTTTTTAATTCGCCATGTAAAGGTGGATGATCTCCATTTTGGATTCGCCATTTTGTTTGATAAAAGTTCATTGACAGAATTGCCGAATCTCGATTATTATTTTCACCCAGTAAGTCTGTGTTATCACTTTTACAAATTTTACGCTTATTTTTATCCACTAATGTAACCTCGTTGTTTTAAACTATTCCCAAATGTTTTTATTATAACTAACCCTGGAACAATTGTTCTAGTTTACGTCATCCTTTATTAGAACATTTTTAATTAAAAAAAGATGAAATGATTCATAATTTATCCCTACATCCATTTTTGGCGTTAAACATTTCCTTAGCCAAATTACTTTCTTTCCTAGAAAGGTGGATGAAATACCTGAAATTGTCAAATTACCGTAATTTGTGTAGACCGTATTAAATTTCAAACTTATTATTATCCTTACATTCAATACGGCGATGATTACTGAAAGATTATCCTAAAATTTCCACAAAACTTTTTCTAAAAATCTTTATTAATGAATTATTTTCCTGTCTTATTTTGTGTTGTCTTTGCTTTGTTGTGTAAACACAACTGTTTAAAGAAGAATGCATTACAAATGTTAAATCGATGTCTTTGTGAAAATGTTAGTGATGAAACTCGTCTTGCCGTTAATTGATACTTTATTATAAATTTGAGTAATTTCTTCAAAGTGATAGATTTTGTTTTTTATAAATTGAAAACAAAGGGATTTTTAAAAAGTATTACGGCAATTTTGGCCAGTAATGAAAGAAAAACAAGTAATTGATGATATTCGCTATAAATTTTATCAGAAATATAAAACTAAAATAAATTTTATTGTTATTACGTAAGTAAAGTTAATTACTTTTATTCGTCTGCTAGTTTGTTTGCAACTGTGTAATTATTATTCATTTGTGTTAAAAAAGTTAAAATAGTAAAATTTTTATATATTTATAAAATATATATATTTAAATTATTGCTAGCATTAATTCAAAGAAGAGAAAGAATTTGTATTTATTTCGTGTTAATCTATCTTCGTTATAGTTGGGAATGTATAGGTGTGCGATAGATGTGGAAATTGTGCGCCCGTATGTTCCCGCCGATGTCCGTCCTTCGGCCGTCTTTAGGAGTTAGATGGGTGAAAATCCGGGCCGGATAAGGAAAGCTTATTTTTAAATTAAAATATGATTAAAAATTGCAGTCTGGCATTGTGACTGAGTCACAATAAGTAATTGTTTTTAATATTAGAAAACCAGTTTATAGAATAATCAAACATTTAGTTAGTTTTACAAGTTTTATTCTGTATGTTTTGTTTTATGTATGTATATATATATATGTGTGTGTGTGTGTGTACACTGTACATATATACACTTGCTTTTACTACATTTTATATTTTCTTGTAAAGACTTAATACATTTTGAATATATTAATTAATTCTATATAAACTGTTTTATATATTAATGAAATGTTTTATAACTAATAACATATAAGAATTTATTTTTTAAAAATAACTATTTTAAATAAGACTTGAACAGTGAGTTTTTTTTACAAAAATGTAGTTTTGAATACCATTATCCAAAAATATACATCAAATATTTAGTCAATGTTCTTAGACTAAGCTGTTACCACTTCAGATGTCATATGTAGTCTTTAAAATTTTGATATAATAGAATAGTAGATCAAAATTTCAACCAGTCTACAGTTTTATTTATTTTAATTATAAGTTTAAATGTATTAGTTATATATTATTTATGAATTGGTGTCTGTTTGTTGTATAAAGTCAACATTTTCATTGATAATAAACAGTTTAAGGGGCTATGAGTTTTTAAATTATTTCATAATAAAAAAGAAGGCATATTTAATAGACATTCAAAAACGCGTGACATTTTTCTGGGTGACCCGTATATAAAGTGCTATAAACAAATAATCATAGGACTACTTACCGATTGTGCCCCATTCGAGACGCCATTGCTTAAGCTTGATTTTGTTGCGGGGCAGCACATTGGATAGCAGACACGTACAAAGTGTGTCACTTGGCATTTCTCGGTGCAATCTGGTCATCTGACTACTTGTTCGTCTCCGCCATGCCTCGCATCTCTGATGTGTTTCCTAATAACTTCTCGCAGAAGAATTTGCTGAAGTTTGGAGTCATTGTTCATAAAAATATTAAAACGTCATTCCATTTTAAATATGAATTAAAATCAACATATAACAATTTATGATAATTCAATAAATAACTAATAATTCCAGTTTGCTTTTAAATGGCCTAATCTCTTTCATGTCTTAAGCAAAATCAATTAAATAAAGATGGAAAAGAAGCCACGTGTTTGATTAATAACACGATCTTGTGTTTAATACTCTCACAAAATTGAGTTTTATTTATTTACATCAAGACATTAGATATCTTATGTTGCACCTGACTAATATTTATTATCATATTATATATATCATGATAGAATTATTGTCGTAAGCGAGTGGTTTTTACCTTGGTTGTTTTATATAGTCATTCATTATTTATTATTATTATTATTTTTAAGTTATCAGGAAACACATCAGAGATGTGAGGCATGGCAGAGACGAGTGAGTAGTCACGTGACCGGATTGCACCAAAAAATGTCACCTGACACTTTTTCTGTGTCTGCTGTCCAATGTGCTGCCTCACAACGAAAACAAGCTTAAGCAATGGCATCTCGAACAGGGCACAATCAATAAGTAGTCATATGATTTTTCGTTTATAGCACTTTATATATGGGTCACCCGGAAAAATGTTACGCGTTTTCTGAATGTCTATTAAATATGCCTTCTTTTTATAATAAAATAATTAAAGAAACTTATATTCCCTTAAACTTTATAATTACCTTCTTTTCATTTAATGTAGTATCTTTAAATATAATGATAGAATACATAATATGGTATATAACATAAAACAATTACATTGTAAATATGATGCACTCTCACTGATATTAACTCTGCTTAACCCAAAGTAATTTTGTTCATTTTTCTGCTAAATGTTCCAGCAAAAACAAATAGAAACCATAGTCAACTTGCATTAATATGAATTGCTAGAGAAACATTTGTTAGTTTGCTTTATAAAAAAATTAGGGTCAGGGTCAAGGTTGTATAACTTAGGGAGTTAAGGCTTCTAAGCTCTAAATCAAACTCTAAATTATATTTTGAATTAATTTACTAAATGAAGTTAAATAAAAGTAAATTTATTTACAAAAAAAAATTGATGCTCTAAATCAGAGGTGTCTAACCTTTTGGTTTCTCTGGGCCACATTGGAAGAAGTCATGGAGTTCTGGGTCACCAATATATTGTGACCCAATTTTTAAATATACAAATATATTTAAGGATTTACATGTATAGATTATAGTAATAAGTATTAAAACTTTATCACGAAAAAGGATATTTTAAAAAATTACTTCTACAGACACTTTTAATTTCTACTTAGAAATAGATAATTTTATTTATTATAAAGAAGTCAAACAAAAATTTATTTGAAAAACACAAATATTTGTTTTATTTGGGTCTTTAATTAATAAAACAACAATGAAACACCATTTTAAAGTGCATTTTTATTCAACTAATATATTTATAAATAATATGTAGCCCAAAATGTAGCCAATGCGCCAAATGATATTTTTTTACGCCAAACTAAAAAAAGGGTACCTAAATTTGGCGAAAAGTAGACAAATCTTGCAATGCTGAAAGTAATATTAAATAAAGCTAGAGTTGGGATTCAGAGGATTATAGACCCAAATTCGGGGAAAGGAGAGAAAGGTCAAAATATAAAGAAGTGAGAAAGGTTAAATAGACCTTCTGTTATGCAAATATTGATCCTTAATTTTCCAACCTTTCTCACTTCTTTTTTTTTTGCCTTTCTCTCCTTTCCCCGAATTTTGGGCTATAGTCCTTTGAGTCACGACTCCAGGTTTATTTAGTATTCCTTCCTCATTCACACATTACAAATATTTGAAAATACTTCCTTTCTATTAAAAAATAAAACATGTATAAAGGTTTAGGGCTTTGTGAAACTTCTTTTTTGAGGTTTATGCCGTAGAAATAAATAAATAATTTAAAAATTTGTCAGTTTTGTTTACACGTTTATTGGGCCGCATTGGAACTTGTTTTGGGCCGCGGGTTGGACACCCCTGCTCTAAATGATTTTCAAATCAAACAAAATGAGATTGTATTTGCTGTTGAAGTGTGGAGTAGTGTAACAGAATGGCTAAACAAAACAAATTAAAAGAAATCTGTGATGTTTTTTCTGTTAAAAATTGTTTGAAAAAGAAACAAATATATATATTTTCAATTGTAAATGTCATCTTCAGATATTCATCTGCACTGCTTTCAAACTGCAGATAGCAGTGTTTGGTGTTTATTGCATTCATTAAATCTTTGGCTTAGATGGCTGAACATCACTGTCAATCACTTTTTCATTTATGAAATCGTCAATTTTATTGAGCAACATTCTGATTGGTTTTGACACTAGTTACATTAATGGCTGCATGCGTGTAGCCAGAAATTAGCCAAGTTGCCAACTTTTTATTTTGTGCCAAAAGAGTAAAAAAGGAGCCAAATTTGGTGCAGAGTAACCAAACTTGGCATGACTGTATGCACTCCTGATAGGCAAATTGGCATGTGTTTGCATGAGACCACAATCATTTAAAGGGCTAAACATTTTTGTGTGTGATTCATCACTGATGTATAATTATTGTTACTTTGGAGGGCACCAATTTGGGAGAGGGTGTTTTATAGTGATGAACAGGCAATGTGTGAGTATGTTACCAGATCTAATGATAAATTTCTAGATTTGGCTATCTTTTGAGCCACATGGGGATTAAGCAATGAATTTTCAATCTGAAAAGTTTTCTATATTATTATAAATTTATTTGAGGTGTGTTTGAATTTTTGCCTAAAAAATAGGGTTGGAGTCAGGCCTAGGCAAATTACAATTCCCTAGGGCATACACCTGAAAGGCACCTGTAAATTCATTTGTAAACTTATTTCTTTACATTTGATCTTATATGGTTAGTGAACAAAGAGAATATTCTCTAAACCAGCGAGCTTTCAACTTTCATATATTACGAACTCATGTAGAGTATTGATAGAAACAAGGA